GCCCGGCCTTAACTCTCCCAATTCTTGAACACAGGGTATCTTTCCATTTATTTCTTTCAATTTCTTTCATTGACTTTAATTTCTATGATATTTTCTTTCTAAAAATTCTTCTTGTTGAATTTTATCACTTAAATTTATTTCTTTAATTTCTTTCATCAATGTTTTATAGTTTCCAGTGTAGAGATCTTTTATCTCTTTGGTTAAATTTTTTTGGTAGATATTGTAAATGAGATTGTTTCCTTGATTTCTTTTTCAGGTAATTTATTGTTAGTGTAAAGAAAAGCTACCAATTTTTGTATTCTGATTTTGTATTCTACAACTTTAATGTATTTGTTTATTAGTTCTAACAGTTTTTAGGTGGAGTACTTAGGGTTTTCTATATATAAGATCATATCATCTGCAAACAAGGACAATTTAACTTTTCCCTTTTCAATTTAGATGCCTTTTATTTCTTTCTCAGTAATTCTTGATCTGCTCTATCCTAAAATACTGTTTCTGCCTTCACTTATTCCTGTCTATTCATTTCCCCTCTCAACTCACTCAAGTTTTCCTAAAGTAGCATAGGAATTTGCTCTTTGCCCCTGAAGTGAATAAATCCTCCTTAATCTGGCATGTGAATGAATATTCCATCACTTTCTATAACTTTATGTGAGAGCTATCATCAACTACTTCTGTTTTATCAATTCTAAGAAATTTTAGTTCTTTGAAGCATTTTAATGTGGTTTTTATAAAATATAAAAAAGATAGCCATAAAATTATATGTTTGTATTGGGAAAGAATAAAAGATCAAAATTTCTGTAAGAGAATGATTTCAGCCCTAAATTCTCCTGCCTATTCAAAAAGGATATCCATAAAACTAGCTTTGTCACGAGAAGAAAAGATTATTCCAATTTCTTTTGGATGGTAAACTCTGACCCTAAAGCAATGTAGTGCTAACCAGATAGCCTATTTCTATCCCTTTTATCCACAAATTTCAAAGTGTAAATGAAAGGAAGGTGATATTTTGGGCCTCTTCTGGGTTAAGATGGAGGGACAACAGAAGTCAGAAGATTTAAGAGGCTTGTTCATTGTTAGGCATAAAAGCAGAGGATGAAAGAATACTGTTGGTCTGGCTCATTCTGGACTTTTCTTGTAAAATGGCCAAATCAGCCCCCTAAGATTGAAGGGACTCGCCCAGGCTTCAATGAGGCTGGACATGACTTCTGTGCTATTCATGTATGAGTATCTAAGGCCAGGATTTGGCTTTATAATAGCTTGAAACAAACATTAATTGAGTCAAAAGTTCACCTTCCTCAAAAGGATTACTCATTGAGGTTTTTACTCCATTTTCCTATCATTCATTAAAGTTTTTGAGACAACACAGAACTTCTGTATCAAGATGATGATCTGTGTTTTCAGAAATGTCATGAGTACACCACACATATATATTTTCCTCAAAGAGCCTAGGTACTAAGGCTGTGGGAAATGGCCATTTCTTGTCAAGGTCAATAATGGAAGGAGATCCATGAAGAGAAGATTCCTGTGTGTATAAAAGGCTTGGGACATGTTCTTCATGATCACCAAAGCCTATCAGCAGGTTTATTAACTGGACAGGCATTGCCCAGGGCTATGACACCTCCAAGGGATGCCTGCAGCATCTGCAAAATTCTCTGTAACTCTAAGGAAGACCCCAGAAGCTCTTTGGCCACCTGTCTACCATTCTCCACTGAGACACAGGCAGCTGGTTACAGCTATGTAAAAATCTTTTCTTGAGAAAATCCCCCTTTTCAAAGAAAACTGTTAACATTTATAAAATGGCTCTGAGGAAGCCATTAGAAACTCTCCGAAGCCAAAGCACGGAAGTTTCCTTGTCCAAACTTTACTTTCTGACTCAGTCTAAACTACCTCAGCTGCACGATTTTAGATAACAATGGAATCCAGGGCCATGAGGAATCCTTCTCCCCTTGTAAGTTTTAGTTACAATGACGACTGTGAAGAAAGATGGATTCATTAAAGGTGATACATCCCATTCAAATACTCTTAGGCTTCTCCCAAACCCAGTCTCCCAAAATCCAGCTTAAACTCTCAAATGGGGGACTGCAGACCTAGCTAAGTGACCTGACCTTTTCATCAGCCCTCGACAATCTTTAAGGGGTAGGAAAGCACCTCCACCCCGCTGCTCAAGTGACACTGGCACCTGCTGAGATGATGTCTCTGGAGGGGGAAAGTAGCCTGTCTGGGCACAGGAATGATATATATTAGTCCGGGATTCACTAAGCAGTAAGAGAAATCCTTGAGAAATGATGACTTAGTGACAACACTACATGCAGAGATGCAGGACCTTGGAGAGAAAAGGACAGTCATCTTTTTAATGAACACTAGTTTACTGAAATTGATTTTGGATGTCTGTTCACTGAGTCTGACAAATGAAGCAAAATCCAGACTGGTTCCCAGAGGCAGGCACTTGCTGATGGGAATATTGATGCTTTCTTCATATTCAGCACTTTTATTTTAATCCAAATCGGTTCATTCCTGGGGAAAAAAGCATTTTATTTCTAGAGAAAATAAGATGGAGTCACAGAAAGGTCTATTTAAGATGGCAGCATGGGAAAAGCCAGAGCTGGCCTGACCCTGGGGAGTTTGGAAGACACACCTACCTGGGTGAGTGGAACACCTTAAATGATCAGTGACAATACTATGGGCTTCCATAATGCTTACCTAAGGGTATATCCAGAAGAATGAAATTTTAACTTCTGCTTTAAAATTCCAGTGCATCATTCTGCCTTTATTTCCTCACAAGTTATTATCCCGAATCTGGACTACAAAACAGTTTGCTGCACTTTCAATTCTTTGTCACCCAGAACCCCAGTTTCCTGAGGAATCAGCTCTCAGGACTTTTGGAAGTATCAAATCTTGATCATCAAATAGAGTACTCTACTATGTTTAGATTTTCTTCTTCTTCTTTTTAAATTGAGAATACTAAGATGTTCTCATTAGAGCGGCAACAGAGTCTGGAAGGTAAGCGATCTGTCAGTAGACAAGGATGTGCATTCCAGATCTGCCACTCACTGGCTATGCCACCTTGGGCAAGTTGATTAACCTCTCAGAGCCCAGGTTTTATTTTTGTAAAATAGAGACAATGGTATGAGCTACTTCAGGGATCTGATATCAATAATAATAATACTTAATATTTATTGACCATGTACAATGCAAAACACTAAGTTTTGTATATATTATCTCATTTAATGATAACAGTATCTCATTGAGTTAGGTGCTACCATCATTCTCATTTTATACAGATGAGGAAACAAGCTCAGAGGAATCACAATCATGTTTAAGCCAGAATTTGATGCAAGCCCTGGGACTTGAGGGGCATGTTGTGAACCACTACATACACTGTAAATTAATTGATATAAAATGCCTAGCATAGTGACTGAAATATCATAAAAACTCAATAAAAGTTTTGATACGATTAATGTTAAAATAGCATTAATGAATATAATAGTATTTT